AATGTGTTTTGGAGGTCTGTAGTAGATTTAAGCTTGAATTGGCGAAAGTTAGTTTTTCGGCGATTTTGGCCGATAGTGAAAATTTTGATATCGAGCTCGGAATGGAATTACGAAAGTGGCTGTAGGTTCGTAATGTCATTTGTGACCTGTGTGTAAAATTTGAGTTCATTCGGACTAGATTTGATGTGGTTCGGTGTCGTTTGTAGAATTTGAAAAATTTTAAATTCTTATGCTTGAATCCGTGCTTAATTCATGATTTTGGTGTTGTTCGACGTGGTTTAAAGGCTCGACTAAGTTCGTATGGTATTTTAGGATTGGTTGATATATTTGGTTGAGGTCCCGGGGGGCCTCGGGTGTGTTTCGGATGCTTAACAGAATGAATTTGGACTTAGGAAAATTTTGGTGGTTCTGTTGTAATCGCACCTGCGCAAGGCTGCCCGCATGTGCGAGAAAATCCGCGCAGAAGAGGAGTTGGGTGGATTGGTCAAGGGTCGCAGGTGCGTGGGAAAAGTGCGCATCTGCGATGCCCGCAAATGCGCAAGACTGTTCGCAAGTGTGCAAGTTATGCTGAAGCGGAGGGGATTTTCGCAGGCGCGCACGCACAGGTGCAGCCCTTTCGTCGCAGGTGTGAAGGTAGAGGGTGGCAAGTGAATTGCACAGATGCACACTTTTTCCGCACAAGCGCACCCGCAGGTGCGAGCCCAGGTTCTGCAGGTGCGGAAATACCTGGGCAGTGGTTAAAACCGAAGGGCTTAGCGATTTTTGTCATTTTTGACTTTGCAAACTCGGTTTAGGGCGATTGTTGAGAGAATTTTCGAGGCATTTATTGAGGTAAGTCCCTTGTGCTTATTTTTGATTAATAATCTTGCCTTGCCATATATTTTTCCACCTAGTTAGTGTATATTTAAGGTGAAAGTTGGAGACTAGGGATTTGAAAGTTTGATTTGTGGATTTGGAGGACCATTTGATGTCGGATTTTAGTAAATTTGATATGGTTAGACTCGTGAGTGAATGGGTGTTCAAAATTTATAATTTTTACCCGGTTCCGAGACGTGGGCCCGGAGAGACTTTTTGGGCATTTTTCCTAATTTCACGCTTTAGCTTCGAATTAATTAACTAAGTTAGTTACCTGTAGTTATATTTACATTATGCAATTTATTTGAATAGATTCGGGCCATTTGGAGTCGGATACTCGTGGCAAGAACGTGTTATCAATGTGATTTGAGCGGTTCGAGGTAAGTGGCTTACCTAACCTTGTGTTGGGGACTTTCCTTTAATATGTTTGATATTAATTGATGTGTGGGCGCCGTATACGTGAGGTGACGAGTATGTACACGGGCTATTATTGCAAAAATTCCATTTTCCCCTTCTAAATCATAAACTATTTTTCCTAATTAAATTGCACTAATACGTTTAATTGTTAAACTTAGGTTAGAGAAGCATGCTTACGTGTTTTAACTGCCTATTTGACATTCTGTGTGCCATGCTTAGTTAAGTCCCTACTTTCCTTATATGTGTTCAGTATAAGCTGTATAACTCGATGTCATACCTTCCATTTTATCTTGCGTAGCATATTTAAATTGGGACTACGGACGTATTCCGGGAGATCTCCTTGTACTGCATATTTACTTTGGGACTACGGACGTGTTCCGGGAGATTCCCTTGTACTGCATATTTACTTTGGAACTACGGACGTATTCTGGGAGATCCCCCAATACTGCATATTTACTTTGGGACTACGAACGTATTCCGGGAGATCCCCCAGCACTGCATATTTACTTTGGGACTACAGACGTATTCTGGGAGATCCCCCTGTACTGCATATTTATTTGGAACTATAGGACGGTATCCCGGGAGATTCCCCACTGTGTTACCTTGTTATGAGTCGAGGACTCCCTTAATTGTTAAATTTTTGAGAGCTTATTTAATTGTGTTACCGTAAATTTTACTTATACCTTTTTACTGTTTAATTTATTATATTTACTCCGGTAGGGCCTTGACCTGACCTCGTCACTACTCGATCGAGGTTAGACTTGGCACTTACTGGGTACCATTGTGGTGTACTCAAGCCCTTTCCTGCACATGTTTTCGTGTGCAGATCCAGGTACGAGTTATCAGCCTTTGTGTTAGTGCGTGCTGCTGATTCTAGGAGACTTCAAGGTACTTCTGCTTGCGTCCGGAGATCTTCGGAGTCCCCTTCTACTCCCTCGCCTAGAGACTTTCTTTATTATCTTCAGACTTTTGTATAGAGCTACATAGATTATAGCAGCTTGTGGCTTAGTGATATTTCGGGTCTTGGAAAATTATTTTGTATATGTCGAGTGGTACTACTCTTGGCTATTCACAATATGCTGGTTATCTTTAAAATGTTGTGTTTTATTTATATTTTTCGTAATATTAGGCTTACGTAGTCGTAAAGACTAGGTGCCATCACGACAACTTACGGAGGGCTAGTTTGGGTTGTGACAAGTTGGTATCAGAGCACTAGGTTCATAGGAGTCGCGAGTCACAAGCCGATTTTAGAGTCTCACGGATCGGTTTGGAGACGACCGTACTTATCTTCGGGAGGCTATGTAACTATTAAGAGCAATCATATTTCTTTGATTTCCTTGTCGTGCGAGTTATTGACACCCATAATTCTAAGATTCTATTTTATTCTTTCTTACAGATGGTAAGGACCCGTACTAGGAGGACCGACGATTAAGCACCCGAGCCCCCTGTCAGAGCCGCTAGAGTCCGGGGTCGGGGTAGAGGGCGACCACGCGGTGCAGCCCGAGCACCTGCGAGAGCTGCGTCAGAGAAGCCCCCAGCAGCTCCAGCTGGAGGGCCAGCACCGAAGATCCCTATTGCTACTCTAGCCCTCCGGGAGACTTTAGCTCAGTTCTTGAGTGTGTTCAGCACTCTGGCTTAGGCTGGACTATTTTCGATAGCTCCCGTTACATCTCAGGCCGGGGGAGGGGCACAGACTCCCGCAACCCGCACTCTTGAGCAGAGGGTCCAGGTTGATCAGGCCCCAGAGTATATTCCTATGCCCCAGTGGCTCCGGTTCAGCATGAGATCAGGGTAGCTGTTTCTGAGGCAGAGCAGCTCAGACTTGAGAGGTACAAGAAGTACCACCCACCTACTTTTAGCGGACTAGCTTCAGATGATGCTCTGGGTTTTCTTGAGGAGTGTCATCGTATTCTCCGCACTATGGGCATTGTGGAGACGAGTGGGGTTTCTTTCACCNACCTACTTTTAGCGGACTAGCTTCAGATGATGCTCTGGGTTTTCTTGAGGAGTGTTATCGTATTCTCCGCACTATGGGCATTGTGAAGACGAGTGGGGTTTCTTTCACCGCTTTCCAGCTAAGGGGAGCGGCATATCAGTGGTTGCGTGCCTATGAGCTGTGTAGTCCGGACGAGGCAGCCTCACTCACTTGGACTCAGTTTTCAGAGATGTTCTTGCGTGAGTATGTTCCTCAGAGCCTCAGGAATGATTGGCGTGCAGAGTTTGAGCAGTTACGTCAGGGTGCTATGACTATGTCAGAGTATGCAGTCCGTTTTAGTGATTTAGCTCGCCATGCGCGGCTCTAGTTGCTACATTCAGAGAGAGGGTTCGTCGCTTCATTGAGGGACTCCACCCCAGTATTCAGACCAGTATGGCCAGGGAGTTGGAGATGGACATCACTTATCAGAAGGCAGTGAGCATTGCTAGGAGAGTGGAGGGCATGTTTGCCCGGGACAGAGAGGATAGAGAGGCCAAGAGGTCTCGAGAGACTGGTCATTATTCAGGAGCTCGTGCACCAACAACACGTTGTGGTATGGGTTTTGTGAGTCGCCCTGTTCATTCAGCTCTTCCAGTAGCCAGCGGTGTTCCAACTCCTCCTAGACCTCAGGAGCCCTATTATGCACCGCCAGTATCCAGTATGCCTCCTACTCGAGGTGCTATTACCGGCCAGTCCAGCAGGCCAGGTCCGAGTCAGTCTCAGCCACCGCGTCCTCCACGAGGTTGTTTTGAGTATGGTGACACTCGTCACTTGGTTAGATATTGACCTAGATCCAGGAGGGGTGCACCTCCACAGACTTATCAGTTTCCATGTGCTCCACCAGGTCCTTCGGCCATTCTTCCAGCACCAGCTGCCACCCCACCTCCTTAGCCAGCTCGAGGTGAAGGTCGGTGAGGTTGAGGTCACCCTAGAGGGGGAGGCCAGGTCAGGTACTATGCCCTTCCAGCCCGTTCAGAGGTCGTTGCTTCAGATTAAGTCATCACAGGTATTATCCCTGTTTGTCATAGGGATGCATCAGTATTATTTGACCCAGGCTCTACGTATTCATATGTGTATTCTTATTTTGCTCCGCATTTGGGGATATCTCGGGATTCTTTGAGTTCACCTATTTATGTATCTACTCATGTGGGAGATTCTCTCATTGTGGACCGCGTATATCGGTCGTGTTTGATTGCTCTTAGTGGTTTTGAGACCACAGCCAATTTGTTATTACTCAGTATGTTAGATTTTGATGTTATCTTGGGCATGGACTGATTGTCGCCTCATTATGCTATTCTTGATTGTCCTGCTAAAACCGTAACGCTGGCTATGCCAGGCTTGCCGATATTAGAGTGGAGAGGTACCTTAGAGTATACTCCCCGCAGGGTCATTTCATTTCTTAAGGCTCAACAAATAGTTGAGAAGGGGTGTGATGCGTATTTGGACTATGTGAGAGATGTCAGTATTGATACCCCTACAGTTGAGTTAGTTCCAGTAGTGAGGGACTTTCCAGATGTGTTTTCAGCTGATCTTCCAGGCATGCCGCCCGACAGACATTGATTTCGGCATTGATTTGTTGCCGGGCACTCAGCCCATATCTATTCCTCCTTACCGTATGGCTCCTCCTGAGTTGAAGGAGTTGAAGGAGCACTTACAGGAGTTGCTTGATAAAGGTTTCATCAGGCCCAGTGTATCACCTTGGGGTGCTCCGGTCTTATTTGTGAAGAAGAAGGATGGTTCTATGCATATGTATATGGATTATCGGCAGTTGAAAAAGGTTACAGTGAAGAACAAGTATCCTTTGCCTCGCATTGATGATTTATTTGATCAGTTACAGGGTGCCAGGGTGTTTTCCAAGATTTACTTGCGTTCTGGCTATCATCAACTGAAGATTCGGGAGCCGGACATCCCGAAGACTGCTTTCAGGACTAGATATGGTCACTATGAGTTTCTTGTCATGTCATTTGGGCTGACCAATGCCCCAACAACCTTTATGCATTTGATGCACAGTGTGTTCCGGCCTTATCTTGATTCCTTCATCATTGTGTTTATTGACGACATCCTGGTATATTCCCGGTCTCGGGAAAATCATGAGCAGCACCTGGGGACTGTGCTTTAGACTTTGAGGGAGAAGAAATTGTATGCAAAATTTTCTAAGTGTGAATTCTGGCTTGATTCAGTGACATTCTTAGGCCACATAGTGTCTTGTGATGGGATCAAGGTAGATCCGAAGAAGGTGGAGGCAGTGTAGAGTTAGCCAGACCATCATCAGCTACAGAGATCTGCAGTTTTCTTGGTTTGGCGGGGTAATACCGTCGCTTTGTGGGGAGATTTTCATCCATTGCAGTACCTATGACCAGGCTGACCTAGAAGGGTGCTCCGTTCAGGTGGACCGAGGAGTGTGAGGAGAGCTTTTAGAAGTTTAAGACAGCTTTGACTATGACTCAAGTATTAGTATTGCCTACAGGTTCGGGGTCCTACACTATCTATTGTGATGCCTCGAGGATCGGACTTGGAGTGGTATTGATATAGGAAGGTAGGGTGATTGCCTATGCATCTAGACAGTTGAAGGTGCATGAGAAGAATTATCTGGTTCATGATCTCGAGTTAGCAGCTATTGTTTACGCCCTGAAGATCTGGTGTTCCCTGTGAGATTTACACTGACCACCGGAGTTTGCAGTACTTATCCAGGCAGAAGGACCCTAATTTGCGTCAGTGGAGGTGGTTGGAGCTACTTAAAGACTATGATATCACTATATTATACCACCCGGGCAAGGCCAATGTAGTGGCCGATGCCTTGAGTCGCCGGACAGAGAGTTTGGGGAGTTTGGCATATCTTCCGGCAGCTGAGAGGCCCTTAGCCTTGGATGTTTAGGCCTTAGCCAACCAGTTTGTGAGAATGGATATTTCAGAGCCTAGCCGAGTATTAGGTTGTGTGGTTGCTCGGTCTTCTCTTTATGACCGTATCAGGGAGCGCCAGTATGATGATCCTCATCTTCTAGTTCTTCAGGACAGGGTTCGGCGAGGTGATGCCAGAGATGTGACTATTGGTGATGACAGTGTGATGAGGATGTGGGACCGGATCTGTGTGCCTAATGTAGATGGGCTTCGGGAGTTGATTCTCGAGGAGGCCCACAGCTCGCGGTACTCTATTCATTGTGCCGCGAAGATGTATCAGGATTTAAGGCAGTATTACTGGTGGAGGAGGATGAAGAAGGATATAGTTGGGTTTGTGGCCAAGTGTCTCAACTGTCAGCATGTCAAATATGAGCACCAGAGGCCGGGTGGATTACTTCAGAGGTTAGAGATCCCAGAGTGGAAGTGGGAGTGGATCACCATGGACTTTGTAGTTGGACTTCCACGGACTTTGAGAAGGTTTGATGCTATTTGGGGGATCGTGGATCGGCTGACCAAGTCAGCTCATTTTATTCCAGTGTTGACCACTTATTCTTCTGAGAGGTTGGCTGAGATTTATATCAGAGAGATTGTTCGCCTTTTTGGTATTCCAGTATCCATCATTTCAGACGGAGTTACACAGTTCACATCACGGTTTTGGAGAGCCGTACAACAGGAGTTGGGTACTAGGGTGGAGTTGAGCACAACCTTTTACCCTCAGACTGACGGGCAGTCCGAGCGCACGATTCAGATTCTTGAGGATATGCTTCGTGCCTGTGTGATGGAGTTCAGAGAGTCATGGGACCAATACTTGCCACTTGTAGAGTTCGCTTACAACAACAGTTACCAGTCCGACATTCATATGGCATCGTATGAGGCTTTGTATGGTAGGCGGTGACGGTCCCCTGTGGGATGGTTTGAGCCGGGCGAGGCCCGATTGTTGGGTACAAATTTGGTCCAGGATGCCCTGGATAAGGTGAAGGTGATTCAGGAGAGACTTCGCACAACCCAGTCCAGGCAGAAGAGTTATGCGGACCGGAAGGTTCGTGACTTGGCATTTAGGGTTGGTGAGCGGGTTTTGCTTCGGGTATCGCGTATGAAGGGTGTCATGAGGTTCGAGAAGAAGGGCAAGCTGAGCCCGAGGTTTATTGGTCCTTTTGAGATATTGCGGCGAGTTGGAGAGGCTGCTTATTAGCTTGCCTTGCCTCCCAGCCTAGCAGGAGTTTCCACGTATCTATGCTTCAAAAGTATCACAGTGATCCGACTCATGTATTGGATTTCAGCTCAGTGCTGTTGGACAAAGATCTATCTTATGTCGAGGAGCCAATAGCCATTTTGGACAGGCAGGTCAGAAAGCTCAGGTCAAAGAATATTGCTTCAGTAAAGGTCCAGTGGAGGGGTCAGCCGGTCGAGGAAGCGACTTGGGAGACCGAGCAGGATATACGCAACTAGTACCCTCATCTTTTCATAGTTTCAGGTATGTCTTTATACTCATTCGAGGACAAATAATTGTTTTAAGAGGGGGAGGATGTAACGACCTGGCCGGTCGTTTTGAGAATTTAAGCCCCGATCCCCTAATATCTGCTTTCCCCATATTTGTTTCTGCTTTTGGGATTTGCCGGAGTGTTTGGTTATAAAATTCGGGTAGTTTTGTGACACTTAGTCCCTAGTTGTGAGTTTAAGCCTTAGAGTTTAGACCGTAGTCAGCACTATGTGAACACCGATCCGGAATGAATATCCGTCGACTCTGTTAGCTCCGTTGAGTAATTTTGGTGTTAGGAGCGCATCCGGAATGTGTTTTGGAGGTCTGTAGTATATTTAAGCTTGAATTGGCGAAAGTTAGTTTTTCGGTGATTTCGGCCGATAGTGGAAATTTTGATATCGAGCTCGAAATAGAATTCCGAAAGTGGCTGTAGGTTCGTAATGTCATTTGTGACCTGTTTGTAAAATTTGAGGTCATTCGGACTAGATTTAATGTGGTTCAGCGTCATTTGTAGAATTTAGAAAAATTTAAATTCTTAGGCTTGAATCCGTGCTTAATTCATGATTTTGGTACTGTTCGACGTGGTTTGAAGGCTCGACTAAGTTCGTATGATATTTTAGGATTGATTGTTATGTTTGATTGAGGTCCCGGGGGCCTCGGGTGTATTTCGGATATTTAACGGAATGAATTTGGACTTAGGAAAAATTTGGTGGTTCTACTGTAATCGCACCTGCGTAAGGCTGCCCGCATGTGCGAGAAAATCCACGCAGAAACAGAGTTGGGTGGATTGGTCAGGGGTTGCAGGTGCGTGGGAAAAGGCCGCATCTGCGATGCTCGCAAATGCGTAAGACTGTTCGCAAGTTACGCAGAAGCGAAGGGGATTTCCACAGGCGCGCACGCTCAGGTGCGGCCCTTTCGTCGTAGGCGCGAAGGCAGAGGGGGGCAAGTGAATTGCGCAGATGCGCACTTTTTCCACACAAGTGCACCCGCAGGTGCAAGCCCAGGTTTCACAGGTGCGGAAATACCTGGGCAGTGGTTAAAACCGAAGGGCTTCGCGATTTTTGTAATTTTTGACTTTGCAAACTCGGTTTAGGGAGAGTTTTGAGAGCATTTTCGAGGCATTTCTTAAGGTAAGTCCCTTGTGCTTATTTTTGATCAATAATCTTGCCTTGCCATGTATTTTTCCACCTAGTTAGTGTGTATTTAAGGTGGAAGTTGGAGGCTAGGGATTTGGAAGTTTGATTTGTGGATTTGCAGGACCGTTTGGTGTCGGATTTTAGTAAATTTGATATGGTTAGACTCGTGAGTGAATGGGTGTGCAAAATTTGTAATTTTTACCCGGTTCCGAGACGTGGGCCCGGGGAGACCTTTTGGGTGTTTTTCCTAATTTCACGCTTTAGCTTCGAATTAATTAACTAAATTAGTTACATGTAGTTATATTTACATTATGCAATTTATTTGAATAGATTCGGGCCATTTGGAGTCGGATACTCGCGGCAAGAATGTGTTATCAAGGTGATTTAAGCGGTTCGAGATAATGGCTTGCCTAACCTTGTGTTAGGGACTTTCCTTGAAGATGTTTGATATTAATTGATGTGTGGGTGCCGTGTACGTGAGGTGACGAGTACATACATGGGCTATTATTGCAAAAATCTTATTTTTACCTTCTAAATCGTAAACTATTTTTCCTTATTAAATTGCACTAATACGTTTAATTGTTAAACTTAGGCTAGAGAAGCATGCTTACGTGTTTTAATTGCCTATTTGACATTCTGTGTGCCATGCTTAGTTAAGTCCCTACTTTCCTTATATGTGTTCAGTATAAACTGTATAACTCGATGCCATCCCTGCCATTTTATCTTGCGTTGCATATTTAAATTGGGACCACAGACGTATTCTAGGAGATCTCCATGTACTGCATATTTACTTTGGGACTACGGACGTATTCCGGGAGATCCCCCTGTACTGCATATTTACTTTGGAACTACGGACGTATTTCGGGAGATCCCCCAGTACTGCATATTTACTTTGGGACTAAGGACGCATTCCGGAAGATCCCCCAGCACTGCATATTTACTTTGGGACTACGGACGTATTTCGGGAGATCCCCCTGTACTGCATATTCATTTGGAACTACGGGACGGTATCCCTGGAGATTCCCTATTGTGTTACCTTGTTCTAAGTCGAGGACTCCCTTAACTGTTAAATTTTTTAGAGTTTCTTTAACTGTGTTACCATAAATTTTACTTATATCTTTTACTGTTTAATTTATTATATTTACTCTAGTAGGGCTTTGACCTAACCTCGTCACTACTCGACCGAGGTTAGGCTTGGCACTTACTGGGTACCATTGTGGTGTACTCATGCCCTTTCCTGCACATGTTTTC